GGGCGGGGGCGCGCGGGGTCGGGGCGCGCGTGCGCGCCGGGCTTGTGCGTCTTGGGTCCCTGATTTGTGCCGTGCGAGTCCCCTCGGCTTGCGTTTGGGGCCCTCAGGGTCTGGGGTCGGCACCGCGGGGTTGAGTCCAAGTTCTACCATGCGCCTTTGGGCTCCCTCCCCCCGCGTGTCATGTGAGGGAGATGCTCTCGCCTGGCTCCTGTGGGCCCGTGGCCGGGGAAGGGATGAGGGTGATTTATGGGGTGAGGCGGGACACGCAGGTAGCAGACCTGGGACAGGACTTGAGGGCAGAGACTGTGGCAAGATACAGCTGCCCAAGGCTAAGGTCACGTGCGGTAGGACCTCCTCTGCCTGGAGGAGCTTTGGGTTCCATCTCAGGCTCCGCCCCCACTGGCTCGACCTTGGATAGGTCACTTTTTTTCCAGGGTCTCAATGGGCTCAAACATTGCAATGATTGTGAGGATGGCGAAAGACTGAAGGACCTGGCAGTGTTTCGTTCTGTTGTACATAGGGTCGCCATGAGTCAGAACCTACTCCCCACCTAACAACAACAGCACCAATTTCCTCATCTGTAAAATGGAGAGCTGGGACCCACTTCCTCGCAAGGCTTTTCCACCCCGAAACGGTGACAGGCTCTCTTAAGTTCTCTGGTTACAACTTTCCAGTTTAACAAACAAAAACGAAACCTGAATTTTGAAAACTCTAGGTTCTGCCTCTCGCACTCTCCCCACCCCGTCCTCCTCAGAGGAAACTCAGTGAGGCACGTGTTTCCTAGGGGAGGCAGTGTCTACAGGGGGACCTTTGCTCAACAGGACTTAAATAAAAATAGTTTTATTTTCGTTTGCAGCGGTACGCCTAGCTAAAGTAGAGGGACGTTGAACCTGTGCAAGATAGATAACTAGAAGTCCTGGCTAAAATGCAGAATCAGCAAAGGGAACTCAAAGAAGCCAGGCAGTGGATGACCAGTTGCAGGAGTCTCAAGGCTATGCTCACTCCCTCTGGTCTACCTCCACCCTGGCGTGGGTCTCTCCCCATTTCCCCCCCAGGACTGGCACAGGGCTGAGTGGGAGTGGGCGTGGGCTCAGGAGGGCACACTCATGGGTAATGAGTCATCATCTGCCCTTGACCCATCTTATGCACCTCCAGCCCTCTGCAGCCTCTGGGTTGGATGAGGGATCATGGGTAAGTGCACAGTCCCAGGGTGCCCCGGCTGCCATGATTGGACCTGACCTGGCCTCTGGTCTGTAACCCTTCCTAGTTGGCAGTGGCTTATCTTACTTGTGCCTTTGCCAAGGATTTGTCTCTCTCCCTCCTGAGGTTCAGCTTAGATCTTCCCTCCTCCAGAAAGCCTCTTTAACCCTTCTCCCTCCCCAAGATGCTGCCAACCCGTCTTATTACCTTGTTTGGTAATTGTTTCCTAATTCTCTTACTGTAGGTTTGTCTTTCCCACCAGATGGTGATCCCCAGTAGGGAGGGCTGAGCAGGGACTTTATATTTTATTTCTGGTTTCATAGTTGAGAAAGCACAGGGCTTGACACTAGAAGATTCTTAGAAAATGTCCATGGAATAAAAATAATGTCAGCTATATTCCTCTAGTGATTCCTGTTTGCCTGGTGCTGTTTTGAGTGATTTACATGTATGAATTCTTTAAGTCTCACAATAGCCCCAAAGTTACTATTATTACCCTCATTTACACATGAGGAAACTGAGGCAGAGAGACCTTAAGTAACTTGCTTACGGTCACACAGGTGGGAAGTGGCAGGACTGGACAGGTTACTTTTAGTCATTACACTAGACAGCCTCCAGATGAATGAGTGGATTCTCTTGATTGGGACTTTGTGGGAGGTTAATTGCTCCAACTGGGTGATGGGATTTCTTCCTAAAGACAATGCCTAACCCTGGGATTATTTGAGAATAACGCAGTGGTTACCTGGAGTAGCCTGAATCTAGTTTTACAAAGCACCGATGGAACCTTCCCATGCAGTCCTGCCTGTGGTCCCTCCTGCCTGGAGGGGGTGGTGTTGACTTGCTGGGTCCCACAGGCCTCCCTGAGACTCCAGTACAGCTTCTCTGGGCTACAGGCCTATAGGCAAGATGTCCCTGGGATCCTTGTCTGGAAAATGGATCTAAGGGAGGGCGTCTAACCAGTTGGGTTCTTCTGGTTCAAACCCTGCTGAGAATTTGCATTTCTACCAAGTTCTCTGCTGAGAATTTGCATTTCTGACGAGTTCCCAGGAAGTTATACATAAGAATCACCATGATCTTTTCACAATATTTTTGTGCTTTCCAGCCTTGGCATGTGGTATAGGGCAAGTGTGTGATCATTGTTGGTTAAAGACTCATGCTTTGTAGATTCTTGGTTTGGAGAGGAGTCCCAGGTGATCGTTGGGGAACTTGGGGCTTACAGTCAAGGCTGGCAATCTGTGCAGTCACAGACGGCCCTGTGCTTAGAAAGGCCCCAAGCTTGGTTTCATGCTCTGCTGTAGCTATCTTGAAATTCTTAATGCTTTTTGAACAAGGAGCCCTGCATTTCCGATTTTGCACTGAGCCCTGCAAATTATGTAGCTGGTCCTGCCTGAAGTACTGAGAGGAGGTGGATGGTAGTAAGGGCATGAGGGTCGGGTTACCATTTTTTAGGGGCCAGATCTGTAGTGGTCAGCCTTGGGCCATCTCAGAATCAAGTAGATGTTTGCTGCCTGGAAACGCTTCACGTCTCCGCCGGCGCTGCCCACAGTGGTAGCAAAAGATGATTTTGGTGGGCTTTTTATCAAGACAGCAGGGCTGGAGTGCCATCCCAGGGAACTGAGCCAGGATTTTCCTTGGTGAGCAGTGAGCCTCAGGCCCCCAGGTGGACATGTAACAGAGGGGACGTATGTAGGTTGCGGCCAGAGTGTGTGTCACTGGAGACTCAGTTTCGTCAAGGAAACATCCACCAAGAGAGCTTTTGCTGACAGGAGGTGACAGTATTAGTTTCCTGTGGCTGCTGTAACAAAGTGCTACAATCTTGGTGGCTTAAAAAAACAGACATTTATTTTATTATCTCGTAGGAGGCTAGAAGTTTGAAATCAAGATGTTGGAAGGGCCATACTCTCTGAAGGCTCTAGTGGAGGGTTCTTCCTTGCCTCTTCGTAGCTTCCAACAGTTCCTGGCAATCCTTGGCTTTTAGATGTGTCACTTCCGTCTCTGCCTCCATCTTCACATGGCCTTTTTCCCTGTGTGTCTCTGTGTCTCTCTTATAAGGACACAGTCATATTGGATTGGGGCCCATTGTATCCCAGCATGAATGCATGTTTATTGATAACATCTTCAAAGACCCTATTTCCAAAAAGGTCACATTCACAGGTACTGGGGGTTAGGACTTCAGCCTACCTTTTTGGGGGACACATTTCAACTCATAAGGGTGGCAAGGTGTGAATACCCACTGTGACTCTCAGTGACCTGGCTCTGGAGTCTTTGGAAGCTTCTTGAGACAGCTTTACTTCCCCTCACCATCTGCTTTCTTTTCTTTTTATAGATAGTAGGAATGGTTTAAGTGAATGTTTCCATTTTAGCTTTGGCCACCTGGAAGCTCAAAACCAAATACTTGGTTCAGGAATGGCAGCTGGGTCGAACCTCAAAACAACAATAGCTAATATTTATGGAGTGTCTATTTTGTTTCATATGCTGTTTTATACCCTTTATATATATCATCATACTGATTCTTTCAGCAACACTGTGGGAAAGGTACCATGGTTTTAAGATGAGGAAGCTGAAGCTCTCTGAGGTTTAACTTCTTGCACAAGTTTACATAGCCAGTAAGTGGTAGAGCTGGGATTTAAACCCACTAGTCTGATTCTGGAGTATATATTCTTAGGTATAAACCTCCACTATCTTAATATCTGTGTTTTTGTTTTTCATGATTGTGACCTTTTTTTTTCTTTCTGTATTTTGCATTGTATTATGGAAAGCTACTATTCAAAATCCTTTGTGTAAACAAGGTTCCCCATAATGAATATACTTGTCCTATGCGTGGTTCCCTCGGGTGACACCAGTAAGGGAACACAGACTCCAGACACCTGGGAGTGAGGCCTGGTCAGCACATGAGCTCCCTGTGGGCCCCTGGATGTGGCTAAGCTAGAGGAGACCCAAGACCCAAGATGGATGTTCTCAGTCAAGGCCTTGGAGGGTTTTACTTCCTCCTCCTCATTCTGTCTGAGCATTTTCTTCAGCACGATCAGAAAGACAAAAGTCCTCCGGAAGGCTTCTTCTAACTCTCTCTGGCCTTGTGGTGACTTCGGCCTCAAGAGTCAGAAGCCTAGCCCTCCCAGACCCAGGCTTGAAATTCTTTTTTGTGCTGTTTCTGAAGGCACGTAAAGCAGAGTTGGGTGTTCCAGAATGAACCGCAGCTTCCAGAAGGGGAAGTAGAAGCCCAGCTGACTCTCTGCCATGGCCTGTGAACCCCAGACGGACCCTTGCGGGGCAGCCAGCCCATTGCCCACCTCCTCTCCTGGCTGGAGTGCCCTGCCTGGGGGGAGCCCTCCTGGCTGGAGGCAAGGTAAGATTATGACCCTTCACTTTTCCTGGGATGCTGAATTGGATTCACACAATGATTGGGTGGTGGGGGTACAGAAGTTCCTTTAGGTAAGAGTGAACATTTTGGGATACATTTCCAGGCAACCCTAGTTCCTGCCATTTCTACCCAGTTCTCTCTGCTGCCATCTCCTTACACCAAGCCATCATCACCCACTGCCTAGACCCCTGCTGTAGCTTCCAGCTGGACTCACCTTGTTCTGCCTCGCCCCTTCCATCCATTCTCTACATGACAGCCAGAGACATATTTATAAAATGCCCATCTGACCATGTGACTTTCTGCTTCAGTGTTTCCTACTGTGCTTAGCATAAAGAGACATCCTCCACCAGCTTATAAGGCCTGTCTGAATGGCCCCTGCCACCCCAGTTCCTTATCAGGTCCTACCACAGGGCCTTTGCATCTGCTTTTCCTTCTACTTGGCATGCTCTTTTCCTCCTTCCATTCTTCTTTCATCTGCTTAATTTCCATTTATCCTTTAGGGCTCAACTCAAATATCCCTTCTAGGAGAAATCCTTTCTTGATGGCCCAGTGTAAAAAGGGCCTAGTAGCAGTAATAGTAGCAGCAGAACCTGTCTAACTTTACAGGGGATAATACGAATCAAGATCAGCCCAAGGCTGATCCCTATGAGGTGGGGATCAGACATACCTCCACTCTCCAAACTTTTTACCAATTCTGACACCAGTCGGCCTTCTCATGGCACTCTCTACTTCTCTTCTGGGTTTGATAATCTCTTGCAGTGGCCACAGAACTCACAGACCATACTTACAGTTAAGTGGTTTATTAAGGAACAGGGTACAAGTCAGGATCAGGCTCCAATTCTGGATCAGGATCAGGAAGCATGTAGGCAGTCTCCCTTCTTCGGTACAGGACAGCTGTCTTAGTAACTTCACTATGCAGGCCTCCGCTCAACCCCCTGAGGACGGCTCTGCTCGGCTCCCTGAGGATGGCTCTGCTCGGCCCCCTCAGGAAGGCTTCTCTCGGCTCTATGAGGAAAGGCTCCTCATGACCTGCCATCTGTCGCCTCCAGCTCTGCTGCTGGGCCTGTTGCCACCAGCGCTGCCACTGGGCCCCTTCCGGACCTCTTACTGCCTTTAGTGTTACAGTCTGTGACCCATGTTACAGTTCTTCTAGGAGGTTCCTTGCCTCTTGTCTCTCTGCTTTTTTCTTTTCTCTTCATTTTTCCTTCTGCTGCTTTTCCTGCTTCTTCCTGTCTCGGAAAGCTTTGTGGGGTTGACTGCTTATACACACAACTCCTTGTCAATTTCAAGGCATGGTCTCTTCCAAGAAGGGGCCACAAACTGACCAATCCCCTCTTGGTAGGCCACAGATACTTCATTTGCATAGTAGCCTATAGTACTTCATTTGCATAGTCTATTGACCAATCACTTCAAACTATGTACTGATCACAGAGTAGGCTGCAGCCCAGGGCCAGACAAAAAGTATCAAACCAGGTTGTTTACAGCTTACCAAGGAAATGTCAATCAACCTGGACAAAAGCAACAGACCCTCTAGGGTAGAAAACTAGGGCAAAGGTAATTCATCAGGATTTAGGGGAAAAATCTCTCAAGCTGTTTTTCCAAAGAACCAAGGCAAAAGGCCACATAAAGGAACTCATTTCACCATACCCGGCCTAAGTCACCTCCCTCTGATATATTCCTCCTTTTCCCCATGGCACTTATCGTGGTCTGTAATTAAATAATTACCTGAGTAACACAGTGTCAAATGTCTGGCTTCGCCACTAGACTGTTAAGTTCCACGAGGGCAGGGACTCTGTGCTTATTTATCCCTGTATCTGCAGTATCTAGCGCAGAACTTGGCCTATAGCAGATGTTCAGTAAGTATTTTCATGAATGAATGAGCGAATACTTTGGAATAGGGATCCACAGAAATGTGGCTGGTTACTTACGGGATTTGTAACTTGACTACCTAAAAACAAATCTTTTTTAAAATCACTGCTGTTTTTGGGAAAGCAATTTATGCACACAATAATAACTTCTAATAGTAGAATGGAATGAAATAATTTTTCTTCAGAACTTTGAAGACATTGCTGCACTGGTTTTGGCAAGCCAGTTCTTGTTCCTTTGTAGGAGATTGCTTCCCCCTTTCCCCCACTTCGTTGGTAGCTTTTAGGGTTCTTTTTTTACCCTAGGTGTGAAAACAAGTGTTTCTAAGTGGAGTACTTGCTGTTCTCACTTTGAGGAACAGACGAGAGACACTATTGCCAGGAATCCAGGAACTCGTGGCTGGAAAGGCAAACAAAGACACGGTGAAAGGTCTCTGCATCGCTTGAGCAAACGTGTTCCTCAATAGGCAAAGGGTCCAGATCAGCGTGGTTTTTCATTTAATGCTGTGAAATGGGGAATGTGCTATCTTCCTAGGATTGCCGTAACACAATACCACAAACTGGATGGTTTATAAGAACAGAAATTTATTGTTTCACAGTTCTGGAGGCTAGAAGTCCAAATCAACTTGTCAGCATGCTCCTTCTGAAGTCTCTAGGGGAAGCTCCTTTCTTGTCTGTCCCAGCTTCTGGTAGCCCCGGGAGTTCCTTGGCTTATAAATGCATCTTCACATGACCACATCCTTTCTGTTTAGGGCGTGTCTTAAACCTAATAACTTGTGAGATATAAAAAGAACAGATGAGACACAGAGAGAAGCAAGCACGAATGAGGGGGAAAAGATAGATGCTACATGGAGATTCTCCAAGGAAAACTGAGAAGAATGCTAGGAAAGCTGAGACAAGGGTTTTTCCCCAAAGCGGACAGAGAGAGCCTTCCCCTTTTAGCCTCCTCAGCTGTGAGAAAATAAATTTCTGTTTGTGAAAGCCACTCACTAGAATTGAGATCCAGTTGTGAATAGGATTTAACTAGGCGATTCTAGGGGGGAGAGTTCCAGAGACAGTGAACAGTGTATGCAAAGGCCCTTTCTCTGTGTTTCTGTGTCCCTTTTTTTCTTTTATAAAGACATCACTAAGAGTGGATTAGGACCCACCCTACTTGTTATGACCTCCTGTTAACTTAATTGTTAACATTCTCAAAGACCCTATTTCCATACAAGGTTGTGTTCACGGGTACCAGTGATTAGGACTTCAGCACATCTTTTTTGGGGGCACGATTCAGTCCATGACAGAGAGCCAGTCTGAGGCCCTGTCTGGCTATACTGCCTGCATTTTGTACACTACCTTCCCTCCTTGCTTCTTCTCTTTCTTACTTTCATTTCCTCTGTTTACATTAGGCAAGTTCCTTTTCCTTTCAGAAGTTCAGTTTCCTCTTCCATTATAATGGTACCCAACTTTTAGGGCTGTTTAAGGACTGAATGAAATCATGACTGCGAAACCCCTTAGCCCAGTGCCTCGCACTAGTAAGGGCTCAGTGTGTGGAAACCTAATATCTGCCGTCATGTTCTGTTTGTCCAGTTTTCCTTTCCTGTTGGTTTTTTAATTTAATTTTATAATTTTACCTTTTTGTGTTTTATTTTCAATAAGCTGCCTTAAATTCTTTCTGGAACAAGGCATAGGAGGGTAAAAACAAATACAAATACTACTACTTTATTGTAACTTCTTAGTCTTGACAAGCTTGCGTTTAAATTATAATAATAGTAGTGGCCAGTCATTCATCACCCGTTTTGTGCCAAGCACCTTTTTTTTCTTTTTTTAAATCCCCTTAATTATACTTGGGATGAGGTATTAGTGGTTCAATGGTAGAATTCTCGCCTTCCACGGGGGAGACCTGGGTTTGATTTCCAGCCAATGTACCTCATGCACAGCTACCACCTGTCTATCAGTGGAAGCTTGTGTGTTGCTATGGTGCTGAACAGGCTTTAGCAGAGCTTCCAGATTAAGATGGACTAGGAAGAAAGGCCTGGTGATCTACTTCCTATAATCAGGCAATAAAAACCCTGTGGATTACATGTTCCGATTCACAGCCAATCATGGGGTTGATGCAGGACCTAGCAGCATTTCGTTCGTTGTGCCTGGGGTTACCATCAGCCGGGTGCTGACTCAGCGGCAGTTAACCAACAACAACAGTAACAACAATGATTATTTGGGAATGAAGAAGTTTTTTGCAGTGGATATGATTATCCTCTAAGTGAGAAAACTAGCCCAGGAGTTTAAGATCACCTTGTTCGTGAGAGGCTGAGCTATAGTTTGAACCCCAGAGCGGTCTAGCTTGTGCTTTCCGACCTCACCACCTTACCTCTGTGCTCCTCAGCCTCTTGCAAACAAACAAAGGGAAATGAAAATTAGTTCTTCTTGGCAGGGGGTAGAGTTTTATGGCATCCTTGAGATCATTGGTGATACCCTGGAGTGTGAAAAAAGAACTCGGACAGGGTTGGGGAGCGGAGTTCTCTTGTATTAATTTATCTATATATCAAACATTTACTGAGTGTCGGCTGTATGCCAGGCACTGAACCTACTTCGGAGGATTCAGTGCTGAGCAAAACCCATGTGGGAACATATAGTCTGGTGGGGAAGATAGACTTTAATAAATTATATATATATGTATTAATCTTTGATGTGTGTAAAGGAGAAGAGCGGGGAGTTATGGATGGGTTTAGCAGAAGGATTTGATCTGGTAAGAATTGAGAGTACAGGCGTACCTTGGAGATATTGCAGGTTTGGTTCCAGACTACTGCAACAAAGCAAGGAAACCCTGATGGTGCAGTGGTTGAAAGTTCGGCTACTAACCAAAAAGTTGGCGGTTCGAATCCACCAGGCGGTCCTCGGAAACCCTATGGAGCAGTTCTCCTCTAAGTGAATATTGCAATGAAGTGAGTCGCCCGAATTTTTTGGTTTCCCAGTGCATGTAAAAGTTATGTTTACACTATACTGTAGTCTGTAAAGTGTGCAATAGCATTATGTCTAAGAAAACAATGTACATACCTTAATTAAAAAATACTTTATTGCTGAAAAATGCTAGCCATCATCTGAGCTTTCAGCAAGTCATAATCTTTTTGTTGGTGGAGGGTCTTGCCTTGATGTTGGTGGCTACTGACTGATCAGGGTGGTGGTTGCTGAAGGTTGGGGTAGCTGTGGCAATTTCTTAAAATGACAACAATGAAGTTTGCCACATCGATTGACTCTTCCTATCACAAAAGATTTCTCTGTAGCATGCGATGCTGTTTGATAGCATTTTACCCACAGTAGAGCTTCTTTGAAAATTAGAGTCACTCCTCTCAAACCCTGCCACTGTGTTATCAACTACTTTATGTAATATTGTAAATCCTTTGTTGTCATTTCAACAATGTTCACAGCATCTTCACCAGGAGTAGATTTCGTCTCAAGAAACCACTTTCTTTGCTCAGCCAAAGGAACCAAGTCTTGTTTTTTTTAAATTGTACTTTAGATGCAGGTTTACAGAACAAAATAGTTTCTCATTAAACAGTTAGTACACATGTTGCCCTATGACAATGGTTAACAACCTCACTTCACATCAACACTGTCCTTACTCAGCCTTGGGTTCCCTATCACCAGCTTTCCTGTCCCGCCTGCCTTCTAGCCCTTGTCCCTGGACTGCTGTGCCTCATTAGTCCTGTTTTGTTTTATGGGGCTGTCCAGTCCCTGGCTGAATGGTGAACCTCAGAAGTGACTTCACCACTGAGCTAAAAGGGTGTCTGGGGGCCATACTCTCGGGGTTTCTCCAGTCTCCTTTTGGCCAGTAAATCTGGTCTTCTTGTGTGTGTTAGAATTTTGTTCTACATCCTTCTCCAGCTCTGTCCAGAGCCCTCTGTTGTGATCCCAGTCAGAGCAGTCAGTGGTAGTAGCCGAGCACCATCTAGCTGTACTGGACTCAGTCTGGTGGAGGCCTTGGTAACTGTGGTCCATTAGTCCTTTGGACTAATCTTTTCCTTGTATCCTGTTCTCTTCATTCTCCCTTGCTCCCGAAGGGATGAGAGCAGTGGAGTATCTTAGATGGCCGCTCACAGGCTTTTAAGACCCCAGACACTACTCACCAAGGTAGAATGTAGAGCATTGTCTTCATAAGCTGTGTCATGCCAATTGAGCTAGATGTTCCCTGAGACCATGGTCCCTACAGCCCTCCGCCCAGCAATTCAGTCCCTCAGGAGGTTTAGATGTGTCTGTGGAGCTTCCATGACCTTTCCTTGTACAAGTTGTGCTGGTTTAAAGGAAGCAGCTCTTCATGAGATCGCAGCAATTCAGTCACATCTTCAGGCTCCACTTCTAATTCTAGTTCTTTTGCTGTTTCTACCACATCTGCAGTTACTTCCTGCAGTGAAGTCTTGAACCCTTCAAGTCACCCATGAGGGTTGGAATCAACTTTTTCCAAACTCCTATTTGTGTTGATATTTTGACCTTTTCTCATGAATCACGAATGTTCTTAATGCCATCTAGAACGGTGAATCTTTTCCAAAAGGTTTTCAGTTTACTTTGCCCAGATCCATCAGAGGAGTCACTATTTATGGCAACTATAGCCTTACGATGTGTGTTTATTAAATAATAAGGCTTCAAAGTCGAAATTCCTCCTTGATCCATGGGTTGCAGAATGGATATTGTGTTAGCAGACAAGAAAACAACGTTAATCTCCTTGTACATTTCCATCAGAGCTCTTGGATGACCAGGTGCATTGTTAATGAGTGGTAATATTTTGAAAGCAATCTTCTTTTCTGAGCAATAGGTCTTAACAGTTGGCTGAAAATATTCAATAAACCATGTTGTAAACAGATTTGCTGTCATCCAGGCTGTGTTGTTCTATTTATAGAGCCCAGGCAGAGTAGATTTAGCATAATTCTTAAGGGCCCTAGGATTTTTGGAATGGTCAGTGAGCACTGGCTTCAACTTAAAGTCACCAGCTGCATTAGCCCCTAACAAGAGAGTCAGCCTGTCCTTTGAAGCTAGACATGACTTCTCTTCTCTAGCTGTGAAAGTCCTAGATGGCATTTTCCCATATATGGCTGTTCCGTCTACACCGAAAATCTGTTGTTTAGTGTAGCCACCCTCATCAGTTACCTTAACTAGACCTTCTGGATAACTTGCTGCAGCTTCTACATCAGCATTTGCTGCTTCACCTTCACTTTTATGTTTTGGAGACGGTGCCTTTCCTTAAACCTCATGAACCAACCTCTGCTAGCTTCAAACTGTTTTTCTGCAGCTTCCTCACCTCTCTCAGCCTTCACAGAATTGAAGAGAGTTAGGGCCTTCCTCTGGATTAGGCTTTGGCTTAAGGGAATGTTGTGGCTGGTTTGATCTTCTATCCAGACCACTAAAACTTTCTCCATATCAGCAGTAAGGGTGTTTTGCTTTCTGTGTCAATTCAGCAGTTTCTACATGTACGATTCAGTGACATTGATTACATTCTTTGAGCTGTGCAACCATTCTCACCCTCCTTTTCTGAGTTGTTCCTCCCCCATTTATATAAACTCACTGCCCCCTCCAGTTCCTATCTATCAAGTTGCTGTTGTCAATTTGATCCCATATTAAAAAAAAAAAAAAAAAAACCATTGCTGGCGAGTTGATTCCGACTCATAGCAACCCTGTAGAACAGAGCAGAGCTGCCCTATAGGACAGAGCAGAGCTGCCCTATAGGGTTTCTAAGGAGCGGCTGGTGGATTTGAACTGCTGACCTTTTGGTTAGCAGCCATAGCTCTTAACCACTGTGCCACCAGGACTCCTTTGATCCCATATGGATAGATCTTAAAAGAGCACAATGCTCAAGGCAGGCATCCTTTACTAGTTAAGCTAAACTACTGTTTGGTTTTAAGAAGAGTTCAGGGGATATTTTTGGTTTAAGGTTTAAAGATTACCTCAGGGCAATAGTTTTGGGGGTTCATCCAGCCTCTATGGCCCAGAAAGTCTGGATTCCATGAGAATTTGAAATTCTGTTCTGCATGTTCCCCCTTTTGATCAGGATTCCTCTATAGAACCTTTGATCAAAATGTTCAGTAATCGTATCTGGGCACCATCTGGTCTTCTTTCAGAGCTCCGCAATGGCCAGGTCCTCACAGTTCTCCGGATCGACAATACCTGTGCACCCATCTCGTTTGATCTGGGAGCTGCAGAGGAGCAACTGCAGACTTGGGGTATTCAGGTGAGTGAAGATTTTATTAACTCCCTGCTGTTTTTCCTTCTTCTTTTCCTTCCTTCCTCTCTCCCTTCATCCCTTTCTTCCTTCCGTCTATCCTTTTATCCATCCATTCATCTATTCAGTTACTCGCAAAATGTGTATTAAACATTTATTTTCATGTAGATATGGTGGGGATATAAGGAAAGTATATTACAACAGCCCTGTCTTCCAAATTAATTCATTTAACAAAAATGTGTTTTTGGGTGCCTACCACGTGCCATACACTCAGCTGGACACTAAGCATGATAGAGGGGAATAGGACATAGTGCCTGTAAGAGATAAATCAGGACCGTGTGATGTAAATGCCACAGTAGAGGAACGTATAAGGCATTGAAGACACTCGCAGGAGAAAATGATAAACTAGGCCTGGGAGACAGTGGTTATAAAAGCTTCACTTAGGAGCCAACACTTGATCTGGGATCTTGAAGGGTAAATAGGAGTTTGCTGGGTGGACAGGAGGAAGGGCATTTTAGGAGAGGGATCTGTATATGCAAAGGGAAGGACACATGAATTCATTAGATATTGATGTAGTGCCTTCAAGCATAGTGATTCGAGGCATAGGCTGTACAGACCCATAGATCTGGATGCAGATCCAGCTCTGCTGCTCTCTGGCTGTGTGACTTTGGGTAGGTGACTTAACTTCTCTGGGCCTCAGTCTCATCATCTGTAAAATGAGGAAAATATTAATATGTGTTATACAGGGTTTTGTGAGGATTAAGTGAAATAATGCCTGTAGAACACTTGTACTGTCTGTGGCATATAGGAAATACTCAACAAGTTGTAGCTATTGCTGTTGTTACTAAGTCCCATAGGTGTGATTGTCTCTCTTCCCTGAGACCCCAGCATGATTAAGCTTTTCCTTGTGCTAGCCAGGGAGGATTCATTACTGATGGGGAAGACACACTGCTAATTTTAAGACGTTGGAATTGGTTTCTTTAAAACCGAATTGCAACCTTTGGGGGCAGTGAGTTTATGTTAATGGGAGAGGAACAACTCAGAAAAGGAGGGTGAGAATGGCTGCACAGCTTGAAGGATGTCATCAGTGTCATTGATTTGTACATGTTAGAAACTGTTGAATTGGTGTATATTTTGCTGTGTATATTCTCAACAACAATAACAAAAAAAAAAAACAAAAGGAAGAAATTAGAGTGAACGTAATGAGAGGTGGTCCTCCCGATTACACAGTCATGTGTCACAACCCTCTTGTGATCTCAGCACGGCCAAACCCAGCCCAGGGGCACTCACAAACCATTCCTTACTTTTGGGAATTTCCTTCAATAACAGAGAACATTAATCTTTATCTTTGACATTTTGAAGAGCTAATTTTGTTGAAATGAATAACATGTCCTACTAAAAACAAGCACCCAAAAAAACCGAATTGCATTATTTGAAACAACATTTTATTACTAAGCAATGAAAACTTTCCGTATTGACGGTGCTAACTCTGCATCAGCACGATAGCTGGTTTATCTTTCCATGTTTCCTTTCTGTCTGTGTACAGAGGAATGTCTTTCTTAAACAGCTGTCTTCAGATTGAGTTTTCTTAACCAGTGAATGGTTTGCATATTCTGCCGTGTTTCTAAATATCATTTTAATGGTTCAATTCTGTTTTCTTAAGAAGTGGACTCTTGTAGGGCCTTTATGCTCTACAGACATTTTTCTTGCCCGTTGTTTGGGTAGGAGGACACACATGTTCAGTATTTTTACTGTACTGATAGTTATTGAAAGGAGCTCTGGCGGCGCAATGGCTAAGTGCATGGCTGCTAACAGAAAGGTCGGTGGTTCGAACCCACCAGCTGCTTTGCAGGAGAGAGGACCTGGTGATCTGCTCCCATAAAGATTACAGCCAAGAAAACCCTGTGGAGCAGTTGTACTCTGTCCTCTAGGGTTGTTATGAGTCGGAATCAACTTGACGGCATACCACCACCTCAACAAAAGTTATCAATATTGTAGCATGAATAGTAGCACCCACATATCGTGTTCACTGTGGGACCAGCACTGTGCCAAGCTCTATACACTTATTGTCTCATTTAATATGCACCTCAGCCCTGCAAGGTGAGTCCTCTTATCCTCCCTTTATAGATGAGGAAACTGAGGCTCAGAGAGATGGGGTTACTTGGCTCCAGGCCACACAGTTTGTGAGTGGCAGAGCCAGGGTTTGGGCCCAGGCTGTCTGACTCCAGGGCCTGTGCCTTAACCATTAGACTCTCCTGTGTCTACTGCGAGGATCCCTTTCTAGGAAGTCCTCCTGGGTCTTGGACTGTCCCACCTCCCCGGTGATGCTTGTCCTTCCCTGAGATGCATCCTATAACGTCCCCCAGTGCTCCCAGCTCCTCATTGAGCCTTCTGGGGTGGCACAGAATGTGCCTAATCCCTCTTCTGTGTGAGAGTCACGTGAACTGGACACGACATGCTTGTTGGTGGGGAGGAGGTGGGGAGTGGTTCTCCCATGGCCGATTGATCTCTCTCCCTTGTGTGGCTGAACAGGTCCCGGCTGACCAGTACAGGAGCTTGGCTGAGAGTGCCCTCCTGGAGCCCCAAGTGAGAAGATACATCATCTACAACTCGAGGCCTATGCGACTGGCCTTCGCTGTGGTAAGGAGGGAGGGTGGCTGCACACTGACCCCTGCCATGGCCCTGTGGCATGGCTGAATTCAGCATTGTCTTCTAGAGCCTGTTGGTGTGGGTAAAGGGCATGGGGGATGGTGGTACCACATGAACCTGGATTTGGCATAAGAGGATATTTGTGGGAGAGAGTTGTAACCAGGTCCCTATGTAAAGGGCGTGAAGCAGGATTTACAGTGGGCTCAGCTTGGGATTCGCGATCTGGAGATCCACCCACCTCTGAACTTGATGTCTGGCCTTGGCCGAGACTTTTCCCCTCTCTGGGCCTTGGTTTTCCTGTCTGTTCAGTAGATAGGTCCATTTCAGCTCTGATTGTATGTATGTATACATGTAACAAATATACACACACACCCATACATATACGACAGAGCCAGGATTTGAACCCAGGCAGTCTGGCTTCAGCATCTGTGCTCTCAACCACTATGATTTGCTGCTGCTTTGTCTGTAAAAATGGTCAAATAGCACACCTTACTCCCATGTCCCACTTCTTGGGAGATGGGGATGGAACAGTAGGCAGCAATTATTAATTCTCTATTAAGTGCTGGACTGCTACATGTATTACTTGTTAACCCTTACAACAGCCCTGTGAAGTAGGTATTATTATCCCCATTTGCAGATGAGGACACTGAGGCTCAGAGAAGTGTAACTTGTCCAAAGCCACCTGTCTAATGAAAGATCGGTGTGGGCTTTGGACTCAAATTTATCCCTCTGAAGGCACTGCCCTCCCTACCGCAAGGCTCATGTTTTATTTAAAATGAGGGGAAAGAGGATTAGGAGTAGTTAGAATAGCTACATTCCTCTACTTTGCTTATAAGCAAGGCACGTGAGCCCATTCGCATATACACAGATGTCTGCTCTGGACTGTTAGTGGCCGTGTGAATGGGCTGAATCTGAGGAGGGTGTCAGAACTGTCCGAAGGGCGTCTCTGAATGGAGCTGCTTCATTTGAGGCCTGGTGTTTCTGACCACAGCTTTCTTGGCCTCTCGCAGGTTTTCTACGTGGTGGTGTGGGCCAATATCTACTCTACCAGCCAGATGTTTGCTCTGGGGAACCACTGGGTGGGCGTGCTGCTCGTGACTCTGGCTGCCGTAACCCTGACCCTGACTCTCGTGCTCATCTTCGAGAGACACCAGAGGAAGGTAAGAGCAGAGGAAGGTGACGAATGGGAGAGCCCCACCACGCTCCTTCCAGAAGGCCTGTGCAGACACGAAAATCCCAAGTCCGGTTTTTCCCTTTTATCTTCCTCCGACCACAAAAATTCACACTGGCCCATGTGCCCAGTGACTAAAAGAAATCACATTACGCGTGTGATTAAATCCTCTCTGTCTTTCCTGTCCAATCCCTGAGGTTTGTTTTTCTGGAAGCAGGCTGTGTTTTGAGAGAAGGTCTGGGAGGAGGGAGGAGATCACTGATAGTCAGTATTCCTCTGGCACTTTCAGTTACGGAGCCTTCTGGATGCCAGTGACTGCATCCTTTGCGCACGGGCTGATGTCCAGTAAACAAGGTAAGCATGAGCTTACTTGTGCTTACTTACTGATCTGTAGTAAACAATTTCACATGGATTTTACCACACCATATCAAAGTGAAACCTATGTGATGTTATTCACTATAGATTAGTAAGTAAGCACAAATAAGCCCGTGCTTACCTTGTTTACTGAATCGTCCGCTCCTGTCAGGGATTGCAAATTTGAAGAGGCTTTGATCCTATAGGAGGGTACTGTGGGGTTGGGAGAGAGACAGATGCTAGTGTCTTAGTCATCTAGTGCTGCTATAAGAGAAATACCACAAGTGGATGGCTTTAACAAAGAGAGATTTATTTTCTCACAGTCTAGTAGGCTAGAAGTCCAAATTCAGGGCGTCAGCTCCAGGGGAAGGCTTTCTGTCTCTGTCAGCCATGGAGGAAGGTCCTTCTCATCAACCTTCCCCTGGACTAGGAGCTTCTCTGTGCAGGAATGCTGGGTCCCAAGGACGCGCTTTGCTCGCAGCACTGCTTTCTTAGTGGTATGAGGTCCCCCCTCTGTGCTCACTTCCCTTTCCTTTTATCTCATGTAAGATAAAAGGTGGTACAGGCCACACCCCAGGGAAAGTCTCTTGAGGTAGGATCAGGGATATGACCTTAGTAAGGGTGTTAAAATCCCACCCTAATCCTCTTTAACATAAAATTAGAATCACAAAATGGAGGACAACCACACAATACTGGGAATCATGGCCTAACCAAGTTGACACTTATTTTTTGGGGACACAATTCAGTCCATGACAGAATCTTTGATGTGGTGAAAAAATGTGCAATTGCTCACTACAGATTGGCAAGCCCATCCTTTCCTTGTTTATTAGATAATCTGCCCTTGCTGGGGGAGGGAGGATTACTGAACCTGTTTTGCAGGGTACCTGAGGTTGGAGGCTAGGGAGAGGGGATCTACATTATTCCCTTCTGCAATGGGCAGACACTGACCTGTGCTGTACGGACAATCATGTCTCATTTAATCCCAACAACAACCTTTTAGGCAGCGAGTGAGTGGTCAGAGAGTTTGGGTAATTTGTCCTGGATCCCATTGTGAGTCGCAGAACTGGGGTTCAAAGCCTGAGCCAGCTGATTCCTGATCACATTCAGAAAGGAGATCGATACCTCCCAGCTCAATTTGTGGTTCCTTCAACTTCTGTCTTTTATTACTTATAGAACACTTCATTTTTAAATGCTTTACGTACATTATCTCATTAAATCCCTCAACAACTCTCTGGGTAGAGGTTGTTACACTCATTTTACAGACCAGGAAACTGAGGCTCAGAGAGGCTCAAGGAGTTACCCAAGGTCTTACATCTAATAAATGGCAGAGCTGGAACGCAAGGCCAGGATTCTCAGATTCCAAGCCATGCTCTTAGGCAATATCCTACTGTTACTAGTTTTCTATGCCAGCTGTAACATATTAGCACAAACTTAACGCATAAAACCATGCAAATTCATTATCCAACAGTTCTGTAAGTTAGAAATCTGACACAGGCCTCACTGGGCTAAAATCAAGGTATCAGCAGGACTGTGTACCTTCCAAAGCTTCTAGTGGGGAATCAGCTTCTAAATCCACCTGCATTCCTGGGCTCCTGGCCCTCTTCCTCCATCTTCAAAGCACTCAACAGTGGGTCAAGTCCTTCCCACATCTCGTTCTCTGGCTCCCATCCTTCTGTCTCACTCTCCCAGTTTTTAGGTCTCTTGTGTTTACATTGTGCTACCTAGATAATTCAGGATAATCTCCCTAATCTAAGGTCAGCTGATGAGCAACCTTAATTCCCCTTTGCTGTGTAACATAACATATTCACAGATTCTGGGGAATAGGACTTGGACATCTTTGGGGTGGGGGATATTATTCTGTCTACCACACCTACACTGGCTTTCCAGCTAATTGGGAAGCTCCTGCCCTTTCCCCCCAGCCCCTGGCAAAGTGCTACATTTAGAGATCACTCAGCGAACACTCAGGAGTGCCTTGGTGGCTCAAGCAGTTAATCGCTTGACTATTAGCTGAAAGGTTGGCAGTTCAAACCCACCCAGAGGCACCTTGGAAGACATGCCTGGCAATCTGCTTCTGAAAGGTCATCGCCTTGAAAACCCTATAGAGTAGTTCTGCTTTACGCACATGACAGTTGCCGTGAGTCGGAATGGAATCCATAGCAACTAAATAACGACAAAAACTACAGGCAGACCCTCTGCTCTTGCCTGACCCCTAAGGGGAGAGTAGGATGTCAGGGAATGTGCTTGGGGTTTGAGGTGTGAACGCCATCTAGAGCCTGTGTTCATAGGGACAAACAGGACCTTTATAGCTTAATCATTCTGAAAGGATCTTTGTTGGGGTCTGCCACGGGGCTGATAAAATAATGGTGCCCTTGGTCTCTGTTGAAGCTTTGATGGCCCTTCTGCTTGGCCTACAAAAAATACATTGAGCCGGCAGCTCCTGCTGCAAGAAACTGTGCTTGCGGGGGGTGGCAAAAGCAAAGTGTCCTGCTTCAGCAACAGCAAGTAAAAAACCTGACACCTGGCGTAAAAAACCTGACACCTGGCAGGTGCTTCACGAATGTGAAATGTAATCAGTGCAGCTCAGGTCATGCCAGGGAATGCCTGCTGTATCTGTTGGCCTCCTTCTCTCCCTTCCTTCCTTCCTCTGTTCAGCTGGTGTTTATGAAGCCCCTGTGAGTACCAGGTAATGTGCTAGCCATGGGGGCACAGAGACAAACAAGATTGCATCTCTTTACTCATAGGTGCAGACTGGAGGCCCCACGTGCCTATCGGTACTGTTCATCCATTCAAGGAACCCCCCCAGGATCCTTTCCTCCCTAATAAATGACCACCATTTGATGAGCACCTACTGTGTGCTCTGTGCTTGGGGCCTGATATCTATGCCAAACAACAACTTTATAAAGAGGCAAGATAGCTTAACCGTTGCTAACTCTGCAACCTGGGATAAGTGGGATAAGTTATTGCTTAAACTCGTGGAGCCTCAGTTTTCTCATCTGTACAATGGGATAGTAATTGTAGCTCCCTCTTAAGGTCAATGTGAAAATTAAATGACTTAATATATGCAAAGTGTTTATGATAGTACCTGTTGTTGTTAGGTGCCGTCAAGTTGGTTCTGACTCATAGTGACCCTATAAGACAGAGTAGAACTGCCGCATAGGATTTCCAAGGAGTGGCTGGTGGATTTGAACTGCCGACCTTGTGGTTAGCAGCCGAGCTCTTAACTACCATGCCACCAGAATTCTAGTAATACCTGCTATAAAGTAAATGCTCCATAAGTATTAACTGTTATCATTATTGATTCTGTTTTGCCAGTGGGGAAACTGAAGCTCAGAGAGGTTAAGTAACTAGTCTATGGCCACACAGCCTCCTACAGCTCATTTGGGTCTCAGCTCGAGGGCCTCTTTCTCCCTGAATCCCCTATCATACAGAACCACGATGTCCCCGCCACCACCCCCTTATCATTCTTATTCTTAGTATCCTGCCTGCATCATGAGCATCCCTGGCAGCATGGAGGTCAGGCCACAGGACTGGGTGTTTGTCTTTACAGGCCAATGCCAACACAGACCTAAGGCTGGCAGCTGCTAACGGAGCCCTCCTGAGACACCGGGTGCTGCTGGGTGTGACGGACACGGTAAAAGGCTGCCAGAGCGTGATCCAGGTACTGTGTGTGTCTCAGCGTGACCTGTCCTTAAAGGTCTCCTTTTGAGCTGGGCTAATGGGGAGAGGCGGCCCCTTGTTCTCCCACAGTTCATCTGCGTGCTGTCTCTGGGAGTGTGCTAACGAGATGACTGTTGGCAGCCCCTCCCTTCCTCTCTCCTCTGGTATTTCTTCCCTGAGACCCCTCTCTGTGTGGTAACCAGCAGTGTAAAACCTCCATGTGTCAGGGCTGGATGGGAAGCTCAGATACTGTCTGAGCCACACTCCTTGTTATGGCAGATGAGGCCCTGACAAGATGTTGTGATGTGTGAGTGTGGAGGATTTCAGCCTGGTTAAGTTTAACCTGGCCTTCTGGGATCAGCTGAGGTTGAGGTGGAAGTAGAGGATGGGAGTGAGGGCTTTTTAAATGCCTCTTCCCTAGCCCCCCAGAGCACCCATGTCTGTTACCTCTAACCTGGCCGTGGGCAGTGAGGGTGACGGCGCTGAAGAGGTTCACTCATTTGCATGTTCGAGTTCCAGACTGAAGGGTACCCCAGCCACTGAAGATTAAGGTGATACCCCGATATGGATACATGGCATCCAGGAAGGGTTTGGGTTCTGTCTGGGAGGCTTACTGACTTGTGGGAAATGGGAGGCCACCCATAGCCATTTTGAACTAGATTTAGCATTTTTCAAATCTGAATGCCAAGCCATTTGTCTACCAGCCCTACAGATGAGCCTTAGTCATGGCATGGTACTCTGTGAGGGAATAGAATGGCATGTTTCTGCCAGAGAGCAAGATAAAACAGGTATTCCTCAAAGGGAAGGCCTCCCTAAATTCAGATCAGTCCTTGGGAGAGCCTGTTAGTCCACCCTTAAGGAATTCATACATTTCCTTGTAATTCTGACTGCTCCGCTGGTGAACTTTACTTTAGGGGCCAAATGTGTTAATAAGAGCATGCATTAAATCCGATTTTTATAAGCAAACCAAACGGAGGCTGGTCTCAGGGAAGCGACCTCCAGGTAGAGCTGGTCTGAGCCACAGCATCATCACTTCCCCTCCTCTCCCCAGCTCTGGTTTGTCTACTTCGACCTGGAGAACTGTGTGCAGTTTTTGTCTGACCACGTTCAAGAAATGAAGACTAGCCAAGAGGTAAGATTTCTTTTCTTTTCTTTTTTTTTAATTGATGTAGTTAAATGAAGTTTACATTTCAAGTTAGTCTCTCATACAGAATTTTTTTTTTTTTTTAACATACATTGTTATGAGAGGTAAGATTTCTTAAGTGAAAACAAACCAATAAACCACCCAAAACAAAACAAAATCCAAGCTCCAAAAAGCGGGAGGCCAAATTGTGTAAATTATATTACCTCAGTGTTGGAAACATATCTAAGAAAAAGTTACCTGGAAGGAAGAACACCCATGTGGAATCCGTGGTTGTTTTTGTCTGGGGAATTATAACTGTTTTTATCTTTTTTTTTTACTAATCATATTTTGTACATTTTCTATATTGAGCATATATTTCTTTATTGTCAATAATAATAATAAAAATTCTGGCAGAGGACAGTATCATATATTTAGGTGATTTTCACTTGTTCAAAGTGCCTTCCTGCCTATTTTGAAGAAATTCTACCACTTATGGGAGATCTTGCTCTGATTTCACAGATGAGGAAACTGAGGCTCTGGGAAGCCCTGAGGTCACAGACCTGGCTGGTGATGCATGGTTTTGGAGCCCAGGCCTCCTGTCTCCGAGTCCTGGACTCCTTCCCTGGGATCAACCTTTCCCTGGGTCCTGGAAGCGCTGCGGTTGGGTCTTGTAGTTGGGATTGTGGGTTAGCCCTGGTTCTGGCCCTTTAGTTCCTATGTGGCCTTGGGCAAGCCCTCTGAACCTCAGTTTGTTCATTTGCAACAGGTGGATAAAGATATCCACATCCCAGGCTGCTTTAAGGAGCAAATGAAAGCATGGTATGGAAAGTGCTTTAGAAACTATTAAGGATTGTACTCTTGTGGGGAATCATATGATCTTACTACCTTGGGTCAGTTCTAGATACTCCTGTGTCAGCATCTGAATCTGTAGATGGACTCATCCTCTGCTGGGAGTGATTCAGCCTCCCAGATGACACCCAAGGCCCCTCTCTGGTTCCTTTGCAGTCCTTGCTGAGAAGCAGATTGAGCCAGTTATGCGTTGTCATGGAGACTGGGGTGAGCCCCAGGACGGCGGAGGGGCCCGAGGACCAGGTAGAGGAAGCTCCTCTCCTGCCCAGTAGTCCTCGTCCCATGGAGAGGCCACTCATGCAGACTGAGCTTTGCCAGCTTGTTCCTGAGGCCGAGCCAGAGGTAATGGGCACCACAGCCAATTGGGGCCATCTTCTCATGTGGGGGCCTCAGTTCTAGATTCTTGTGGACATGACTTCTCTGAGTTGGTAAAGACCATATAAATCTTCTAGCCAGTAATTTTCAATCTTTTTTTCCTTACGTCAGCACGTTTTAAAATAGTTCATAGGGATCATTTTGTATTTACTGTTTTTTTTTTTTTTTTTCAGTTTTTACCATGGATATTCTTTTGATAGTTGCATTGGATGGATAGTTGCATGTTAATAGATTATACCCTATTTAACCATGAACATTATCTATCTATCTATCTATCAATCAATTCACCCATCCATCCATCTGTCCATCTGTCTGTCCGTCAATCATCTATCCATCCATCCAATCATCTATTCATCTGTTTACTTGAACTGCAGTTGAATATTTGAATCTTCTACGCATCTCTGTTGAATTTCAGTTCCTCTAGCCCCAGAGGTCTGTTTAATCCTGCCATCCAAGCTATCTGTTGGGTATGGCCAGGTGCTGGAAGATCAGAAATCTGATAACATGGTTTGCAACTTGTATTACCTTTTCCTCACTATGGGGACAGACCCACTGTCAGGAAGACTGCACACAGCAAGGGGTGACCTCAGGTCTGGCATGACTTAGGAGAACACTTGCAGTTTCTTTTCAGCTAAGTGGTTTGGGGATTAAAGGTACAAACCAGCCTAGACTTTCCCTATTGCACTGGTGGAAAGTGGGGGGCCCTGCAGATAGGACTATTTAAAAGAGAAAATGATAAATTTATCAAGCTCTTCACTTGAATCCCGCTGACTATTTTTAAAGAGCAGAAAAATTTGATAAGGTCACGTACTTTATTGTGGCATACACGTCTAGGTTTATGTGAAATAGCCCATTAAAGGCAAGTCTTCTAAATTACTTTTTCAAATTCATCCAAACCTATAGTAGTACAGTTTCCTGTCATGAATATCAAGTCTCAGTGTGTGTGCACATGCTGCCCTTTACTGTTTGGCTAGGAAAAATATAATCAATGACCAAGTCTCAGCATGAAAGGCAGAGTAATAGTTATCATAACCTCTTACATTTCTATAGATTTTTATCATTCAGAAAACTCTTTAGCATATCCTCTGAGGTATGGATTATTTTCCCTCCTTCCCTGATGAGCAAAATAGGGTTCCGGGAGACCAGCTGACTTGCCCAAGTTCATAGAACAAGGGAGAATGTGGCAAAACCAAGGGCAAGAAGCTAGGCATATTGATTCTAAGTAGGCCATTTTCCTGCCACAGTTCTTTGCTTCTTGCATTATTGATTTTAGAGTAAATTGGTGAGAAAACCAATATGAGTTAGTGAGTGGTAGAATATTTGAAGTTTTTAATATTTTCTAGAACAAGGGACAATTCAAATGAAAAGCTAATCCTATAGAATCAAGGGATAGTTCTGCTTTTTTGAATAATAATGATGATGATGAAACAATATTGATCACATTTTTTGAGCAGTAGGCACATTGGCTCCTTTAATTCTCACTCCAGTTCAGTGAGGCAGATGCTACTATTACCCGTCTTTTATTGGTGAGGAAACAGGCTCAGGAAGGTGAAGTAACTTGCCATAATTTAGTCATAGCACTGGCTGGTAAGTGGCTCTGCTAAAATTCCCCTGTGGTCTTTTTGACTCTAAAGCCTATTCTTAATTCCTAACTCTACAGCCATAAATAGCCTTGATGTAACCCACTTCTTATTTTATTAAATTCAGATTAGTGCTTGCGAAAGCCTGTTAGTCCGCCCTTAAGGAATTTATGCATTGCCTTGTAATTCCAACTGCTCAGCCAGTGAACTTTACTTTAGGGGCCAAATGTGTTAATAAGAGTGTGCATTAAATCCAATTTTTATAAGCAGACTCTGTTAACATGTGAGTACTTATTGCCTAAAGGAAACCTACCACGCATTGTAGAATTTTGCTATAATGCGAATATTATATCGCACAACCCCTCTTCCCGTCTTCATTTAGTGATTTGCTTCAAGTGAGTTATGTTGACCTCATGGACTTTACAGATTCATACCATATTTGGTGAACGAAAATGAGGTGGACACTCTGTGGGATGGATTGACACAGTGGCTGCAGCAATGGGCTCAGACATACCAAAGATTGTAAGGATGGCGCAGGCCTGGGCAAGGTTTCGTTCTGTTGTACATAAGGTTGCAGTGAGTCGCAGCCAACAGCAACAGACATTTGAAGCTGGGAAAAGTGTGTGTCTATAATTGACTACATATAAATCAATGATTAATTTCTCTCATCCTTGGAGGTAACGTAGCTCTTTTGTGCACATTATTAGCATCTGTCAGTAGCTAGGTTATTCCCTTGGGGATGAGAAAACTGGGGCTGTCATAGTGCGTGGGTTGCAGAGCTAGGATTCCAGACCAGACCAGGAGTCTTCCAAGAGCTTCAGGTGCTGGCAGGTTTCTTCCCAGTGAGCCTCCCTGCTGGGTCCAAGGGAATGAGGACAGCTTGGCTTTCCTCTTGTGTATTAGTGCCCCTCCCCTCAAGGTGCCTCTCTGTGACCCTCACTGCCTCCCTGCTCCTTCTAGGAAATGGCCCGGCAGCTGCTAGCGGTGTTTGGTGGCTACTACATCCGGCTCCTGGTGACTTCCCAGCTCCCCCAGGCAGCGGGGACACGACACACAGACTCTACAAGGGCTCCGTGCCCCTGCCAGCTTATAGAAGCACACATCCTGGGCACGGGATGCTGCCCATTCCTGGCCAGGTGACCCAGGTGTTAACAGGAATATCCAGAAAAGACTGATCCTGTTTCATTTGAGAGCTTCTTTTGTTCAAAGACAAAAGTACTTACCTTTCTCCAAGACTGAAGGTGGGAAGTGGGGGAGGCCTCAGGAACCTAAGATGGCTGATAGGGAGCCCTAGGCCTTGAGAGAAGCATCGGGGGGCATCCAAAAGGTGTCGTGAATGTCAGCAAAGTCATGCCCGTGTCCAAGAACCTGCACAGAAATGGCTTTTCGACATCCCGTGCTGGCCCCTGGCCTTTTCAGAAGCTGATGGTTGCTGAGCTGGTCCCACTTCAAGCTACCATCTGAGCTTCTTAGAACTGTGGATGCGGATGGCAGGGTCAGTCTCCCAGCCCTTTCATTGCACGGTGGGTGCAGGAGATGTGAAGATGGCCCATGGAGGGAGCTCAGTTGTCCAAAGCTTGGTCTCAGATGATGCTCTCATTTCCAACCCCTTCAGTCAGAGGGGGAACCTGAGGCTCAGCAGGACATTTCTCTTTACGGTACTGCCTCAGGCCTCTAAAATGATAAGATTACCTCTCCCAGTCTGAAGAAAAGAAATACATTCTCAGAATTTTCTCCATTTTTAAGGTTTTCTTCCCCAATGTTTTATCAAAAACTGACACCTGTGCTGCTGTCAGCTAACACACATGCTTGCAGGAGACAGAAGATAAGAAAACAGTGGCTGATGACTGTTAACAGGAATATCCAGAAAAGACGATCCTGTTTGATTGGAGAGCTTATTTTGTTCAAAAACACGCATGCTGTGGTTGTGATTTTGTACTGCAGACTTAGAGCAGCAATTGCGTTTGCTGTCATTACCCTTATCCTGGAGTGCAGTGGAGCGAAGTGTAACCAGTTACTCGTGGAGTTCCGTGAAGAACTCAGGCTCCTGGAGCCCTGCTCCTGAACAAGTTTGAGACCCACTGCTCCACAGGCCCAAGTTCAAAAGCCTTGACCTGGCATTTAAAGATTCTCCAGCCCCCAAGAGATGGCCTTCATCTCTCTTTTTGGCTTCATCTCCCACAAAACTCCTTTATAAGTTAAAACTCTTTCCTGCACTGATGTACTTATTCCTTTCCACCTGTTGGACTCCTGTGCATGCTTCAAAGCCCAGTTTTATTTGCCTCTCGTTCAGGAAGCCTTCCAGCATTGCTGCTGTCTGCCTTCTTTAAATTCTTGATGCAGCTGCTACATATACTGATGTTTTATGTTATTGCTTCTATTTTCCTACGCACATGCCTAGCTAGACTGTAAGCTCCCCAAGGACAAAGACTGCATCTTATCCTTTTTATGCATGTCCTGAACCTACTAAGGAAGATCGTATCCTGTGAATTGATTGCTTTGTCATCTCCATAGCAGCTTTTGCAGATTGCTCTCCAGACTCAGTTGAATGATGAGGTTTGCACAGACCTGGGTTCTGGTCCGGACTCTGCCCTTTTTAGCTGTGTAACTTCTGGCAAGTTGCTTCCTTTTACTGGGCTTCAGTTTACCCATCTGTATAATGGGGTAGTGGATTAGATGTTTCTTAAGGGCCCTTCCAGGGCCAAAGTTTTGGGAATTTCCAGGTTGTTCAGCTCCTTCTTGGCCTCTAGGCTGTCTGTTACATGCAGGAAGGTCCTACAGCCTTTGGGTGGAACACCGGCCTAGCTATCAGGAAACCTGGATTCTTGTCCCAGATCAGCTGCTTCCTAGCTGCGTGACCTTGGCCAGGTCACCTAGTCTCTCTGAGTGTCAGTTTACTTCTTTACAAAAATAGAGCTGGTAAAAATGCAATGTAATAATGTAGGGGGTGTGTCATGTAAGAGATGAGTCTGACTGCTCACTCTTCCTGTGCCAGAGAAGAGAGATGATGTGTGTAGACCAGCCCCTAGAAATGACTGTTGTAGGTATTTATCTTTCACGAAGTCTGAGGGCAGTTTTAATAAATGAGAATTTATTCCTGACAGCCATCACTGCCTTTCTGACCTGACACAGAGGAAATGTTGTCTGTAAATGTGATCACTCTAAGCCCATCTTTATCATCTACATAAAACCTCGGTAAGTATAATAAAAGGGAATAAAAATGTGTTTGTTAGATGACAAAAGAGCAGCTTTTCAGTTTTGAGGTCTGTTTAGAGAGCCCGTAGGAGCCCTGGTGGCACAACGGTTAAGCACACGGCTGCTAACCAGAAGACGGGTGGTTTAAACCCCCTCGGCAGCTCCGTAGGAGAAAGACTCGGCGATCTGTTCCCATAAAGATTATAGCCTAGGAAACCCTATGGGGCAGTTCTGCTCAGTCACATGTGGTTACTGTGCGTCAAAATCAACTCAACGGCACACAACGAAAACGAAAGAGCCCTAGACATGTCATTTCCTCGCTTTTCCTCCCTTCAGAGGTTCTGATGGTGGGTCTCACCTGGTGGGTGGGCATCCAGAGTGTGCCCATGCTGTACGTTTCTGTGCAGCTGTGCCGGAGTTTCTGCATTTGTAAAGTCCCTGTGGTCTGTTCCTTGCCTCCTTATGGGGATCAGATACCATATGTGAAATGCTCTCTAAGTTTTTTTTTTTTTTAGAGCAGTTTTAGGTTTATAGGAAAGTTGTACAGAAAGTACAGAGTTCCCACATGTCCCCCCGGCCACCCCCCGCACAGTTTCTCCTGTTACTAACACCTTGCATTCCTGCGGTATATTTGTTACAACTGAGCCAATGTCAATACATTATTATTAACTTAAGTCCATAATTTACATTAGGGTTCACTATTTATGTTGTACTGTCCTGTGGGTTTTGACAAATGCAGAATGTCATGTGTCCATCATTACTGTATCCTGTGGAATAGTTTCACTGACCTGACTCTTAAGTTTTAAAGCTCTGTGCTAATGGTAGGGGTCACGATGGTGAAGATGGTGAGACATCATGAGGTGGCAATGAAGGGAGTAGCTCAGAGCTTGGATTCTGGTCAAATCTTACTCACTTCTGGGTTCCGCCACTTGGAAGAAGCATGATGTTGGAGAAGTCACTTCCATTCTTGGATCTCAGCTCCTCATCTGTAGATGGGAATACCAACCAACCAACCAACCCGGTGCGGTTGAGTCGATTCTGACTCATAGCGACCCTATAGGACAGTAGAACTGCCCCATAGGTTTTCCAAGGAATGGCTGGTAGATTAGAGTACCTATCTCATGCGATGTCCTGAGGATTAAATGAGATCATGAATGTAAAGTGCTTGCAACATAGTAAGAGCTTAATAAATTGTTGCTATTTTTATTCTCTCCTCCCATGTCTTGTATGCAGTAGGTGGGCGATCTATATTTTTGTTAATGTGGTGGGTCATTAAAGTTCATATTTATTCAGTCTGTATCAGACCTTAGTTACTCCAGCACCGTGGGGTATATTGTACGTGAATAAAGATTCTAGTCAAGTCTCTCTGAAATTCAGTAGTGGGAGGCGGTATAGCAGGGAGGGTAAGAGCAAGCTGGTGACTTTGGGCTGGGTACTCACCCTCCTTGTGTCTCTCTCCTCATCTATAAAGAGGGCGGTGACAATAAAGGGGCATTAAATGAGGTGCATCAAAAAATGTGTATTCTTTAAAATGTCTTGGACCTTCATCTTTCCATTCCCACTGAATTAATCTATTCCAGACCTATAATATTAGTTATCTTTTGGAGCCCTGGTGGTTCAGTGGTTAAGAACTGAGCTGCTAACCAAAAGGTCAGCAGTTTGAACCCACCAGCTGCTCCTTGGAACCCTATGGAGAAGTTCTACTTTGTTCTGTAGGGTCACTATGAGTTGGAATCGACTCGATGGCAATGGGTTTTTTTTTGGTTTTTATGTAAAGCACAGGCCTGGTCCATAGCAAGCGCTCAACAAATGGCAGCTTTTCTTCAGCAGCTGTTGGCCGCTGTGTCCTCTGTCGACTAGCTCAAGTTTTTAATTGTGTCGCTCAAATCTCTATTCTTGCTGATGCTGGTTTGCTTGTTCTATCAGTGATGGAGAGAGAAAAATTTCCAACTATGATCGTAGATTTTCTGTTTCTCCTTTTGCTTCTGACGAGTTTTTTTTTTTTTTAATTGAGAGAGAATTCATGTACTGCAAAATTCATCCTTTGTAAGCCTACAATTTGGTGGATTTTTATATATTCACAAGGTTGTGCAACCATCATGACTATCTAATTCTATAATTTTTTCATCACCCCCAAAAGAAACCCTATACCTGTAAGCAGTCACTCCCCTTTCCCCCTTCCTCCAACTGTTTGCAACCATTAATCTATTTTCTGTCTCTGGATTTTCCCATTTTGGACATTTGATATACATGGAAGCTTTTTGTGTCTGGCCTCTTTCACTTAGCATGATGTTTCCAAGGTTCATCCATGTTGTAGCATGATCAGTATTTCATTCCTTCTTATGGCTGAATGTATTCTGTTGTATGAACATAGCATATTTTGTTTCTATGTTCATTGACTGATAGACATTTGGGTTGTTTCCACTTTTTGCCTATTGTGTATAGTGCTGCTGTGAACATTCTTGAACACGTTTTTGTAAGAACATGTTTTTAATCCACTTCTCACAAGTTTTGCTCTCTTATTACGCTGTAGCTTACAAATTTAGAATTGTTTTAACTTCCTGGTAGGTTGACCCTTTTATTGTTAAGAAATGTGCCTTTTTAAGTTTCCCTCTATTAGCTTGTTAGGCATATATATATTTTCTTTCAGTGGTTATGGTAGATTACAACATCCTTTAACTTACTGAAGTCTGATGTAAATGAATACTTTTGCTACTTCCTGGACAACTCAAGGACCTTAGAATACTTTCTGCCTATTCTTGCCATGGATTTCAATTCTATTTAAACCACAAAATACCTTATTATTAATGCTTTATACAGTCAGTCTTCATTTATCTCTATCTACATGTTTCGTTTTTATTACTCTTTATTGCTTTTGTTGTTGTTACTCTTTGCTTCTTCCTGAATTCCTATGTATCTGTCTAGACTCGTTCTCCTTCTCCTAGAACCACCATTATTATTTTTCTTTAGTATTAGAAATGCTGTTAGTGTTCTGTTTCCAGTCCAGAGCTTCTGGTGGTGACACGTTATCTCAGTTTTTGTTTGCTGAAAAAGTCTCTATTTTGTTTTTATTTTTGAAAGATAGTTTTGGTGAGTCAAGAATTTGAGGTTGGCACAGTTATTTTCTTTTAACCTTTTGAGGGTGTCATTGGCTTCCGTTGTTTCTGTTTGGATGTTAGCCGTCAGTCCTGCTGTTGCAGCTTTTAAAATTGTTTCTTTGCTTTGGTTTTCAGCAGTTGTATTCTGATGTGCCTAGGTATACCAGAAACCAAACCCATGGTGTCAAGTCAATTCCAACTCATAGCAACCCCACAGCACACAGTAGAACTGCCCCATAGGGTTTCCAAGGCTGTAAATCTTTACGGAAGCAGACTGCCACATCTTTCTCCTGCAGAGCTGCTGGTAGTTTCGAACAGGTGACCTTTTGGTTAGCAGCCCAGCACTTCAACCACTGTGCCACCGGGGCTCCTTGCCTAGATATAGCTTTCTTTATATTTATCCTGCTTGGGTTTCATAGCATATATTGAACCTGTGATGGGATGTGGTGCCTTTCATCATAGTGTCTGCCTTCTACTTTCTCACCTCCTTCTGGTACTGTAATGATATGTGTGGTAGACCCTTTTACTGTGTCTCTCAGGCTCTTTTCAGTATTTTTCACTCTTTGGCTCTTTATAATTCAGTCTGGATAGTTTCTGCTGACTATTTTTTAGCTCATTAATTCTGCCCTCTTTTGTGTTTAATTGGTAGTTAATCCTGTTTATTGAGTTCTTAATTTCAGCTGTTGTAATATCCAGTCCTAGAATTTTCATTTGATTTTTTAAAAATAGTTTCCAGTTCTCTGGTGGTAATAGCCATCATCATCCATTTTCTTCAGTATTTAATTGCACTGATTTTATCATCTATGTCTGCTGACTCCAACATCTGGTTCTTCTGTAGATGTGTTTTTCTTTTTTTTTCTCTTGCTTTTCAGTGAGTTGGTCTTATCTTCTGGTATTCCTGGTAATTTTTTATTGAAGACTGGACATTTTATATGAAAAATTGAAAACGTATAAAGGCTCTGGGATCTTCCTTCGGAGAGGATTTACTTTTGCTTCTGGCAAAAGTAGGGTTTGGATAGATTTGGTTGTGGGCTTCAGACTGAGTGAAACAAATAAAAAAAAAACCAAACCCATTGCCGTCGAGTTGATTCTGACTCGAAACAACCCTACAGGACAGAGTAGAACTGCCCCATAGGGTTTCTAAGGAGCAGTTGGTGGGTTTGAACTGCTGACTTTTGCTTAGCAGCTGAGCTCTTAACTATTGTACCACAAGGGAGGGCGAGTTTGTTTCTGGTTACCCCTTAGTCTCAAGGGGTAGCCCTTTAGGGGTTTTAACTGAAAACCTGTTAAAAAAAATTTTTTTTAACCAAGGCTCCTCCATGGCGAGTTCCACTTTTTATTACCCAGCCTTGTGAGGCTGCTGACAGCTCTGCTCAGCTTTTCAGCCTCTTCGACCCTGCTTAGGAGTTGGCAGGGGCCTTGAGGGCATCAGCAGATCCAAGTGTCCTCCTCATCTCTCTGCACTTCCTTTCTCTCCAGGATCTTGGCGCTCAAGTCCTCACTGCATTGTTAGATCTCTCATGTTCAAACAGATTTTTTAAAAATTTAACTATTTTTTAAGCTGCTTTCAGCATGAGGGTTGCTCTGGTACAAACTCGTCTGCCATAATCAGGAGTAAAGTCCAACTGTAGCTTCTATTATTATTATTGGAAAATCCTTCAGAGAAGATGTCACCCGGAGGCTGAAAACCTTTTGACAGGTTTACAGGATTGGAGCCTCTTTTTATCTCTTGTGGAGAGGCTTCTGAGTTATCAAAGCAGGAAGTGACATTTACAGAGCATCTTTTTATGTGCAAACACCTGCTGTTAGTTTCCTGGGGAAGTTCCCCGGGAAGAAGAGTGGGACTGTGGCCTGGGAGGTGGTGAGGAATGCATTGGATAAAAGGGATATGGGTCCTGAGAATGCAGTGTGAGAACTGGCAGTGGAGGAGGACCCTGGACAGTGAGGCACCAGGAAGGTGGTAAGTGTCTTCACCGATTTGATGTTGGTGGGGATTCTCCCTGATGGGGAAGAGGTGCTATAGCATAATGAACTGACATTTCACACACACATACACACACAAACACACACAGAGCAAGCCCCTTGGCTTCCTTCAACTCTCGTTCTTTTACTGTCTCCTGCTAAATATTTCCAGCTTCCTTCGGAATATGGCTCCCTGGGTCTCTCATGGGAGGCGGACAAGCTTGCCATAGCCCAAATAAAATAAAATGATCTGTGCGTGTTGTCAGCTTAGCCTTGCTACCGCCTCCTTCTCAGTTCCCTGCATTGTGAAAGAAGCCAGGAGCCTTATTTCCTAGAATCTTCTCCCCTATATAATTCCAAGTTAGAATTCATCAATTTTTCCTGGGAAGTATATTGTAACCCTGGGCCGCCTCCTTCTTCTCACTGCTGCCTGAGTTGAGGTCTCTAGCACTGACTGTCCTGATTGCCGAGAGCCTCTTCCTGATGTCTGTGTCAGGGCCCAGTCAGAAGACAGAAACCACGCAGTAATTTGAACAGGAAATTTTTAATATAAAGAATTATTAACTGTCACAGAGATTGGAGTAGCAAGGAGTTGATTATTAAGAAGTAAAGAGAACTCTAAGGAATATACGAATAGCAGATAGAAGGAGCAGCCACCACCCCTAGGGCTGAGATACAGCACCCAAGGAAGAACCTCCCATGCCCACCCCCCACTGAGATCCAGACCTTGTTGGGGAGAACACGGCTGTGGCTGCCCCACAGTGACTCTGGGTGGCAGAGGTCTCTGAGGTGCCACATTGGCAGAATGTACTAAAAATCTGCCCTCGGGAGCTTGCCAGAAATTTGCACTTGATAGTGTCAAGGAAAGCTGTCCATGGAGACATGGAGTGTCCATGGAGGAGTGGCTCATTGCAGGTGCTCCCCCGTTTGTAGGGGGTAGGGGAGAAGCTGCTGGCTGCTAAAGGCTGCTGACCACCATGCACTGCAGGATCTAGGTGCTGGAAAAGTATGCCTCAGGAGCCTGACGTCGGAGAAGTCGCCTGCACTGCAGGAGCTGGGTGCTGAAGAAGCCATCTGTGCTTTAGTAGCCTGCTGAGACGAACACACCAGAACCAGGAAGGAAAGCCTCCTTCTCCAGTGTTTCTCCAGCGCCCCCTAATGACAAAGCTTACACTGCACCAGCTGGCCAGGAAAAAATACTTAAAGGGCCCATCTCCGTTTTGAAATCTAGACCCTAACTGAAAGAGCAGGTAATGAAAGGTCAGTTTGGAGCTGAGAGCAGTAACTGGCACTATGTCATTCTGCTGTCACTGTGATAGGCCGTATAGCCAAGTGGTTAAGAGTGGACTCTGGAGTCAGGCTTCCTGGGTTCAAGTCTCAGCTCTGCTACTTAGTGTAGAGATTTATTTAACTCTGTCTCAGTTTTCTGATTTGTAACACTGGGGAAATAACAGCATCAACTTCATCGGGGTGTTGTGCTGATTGAGTTGATATTTGTAAAACACGCAGAAGGGTGTCTGGCTCAGAGTAAGCAATATACCAGAGTTTATATATTGCTATCATTATTACATTCAAATCTATCCTTCAAATTGCAGCCAGGGTGTGTTTTCCATTGCAAGTATGGATTTGAGTCCATAGTCCTGTGG